CCCGTTAAAATAGTTTCTCTTAACCTTATTACTGTATATTGAAAGATGACTGGATCTGGAATGAGATGACTGGAATTTTTGTCTCCAAACTATTTGCTGGTAGAAATACTACATGCAAAGGTAAATTACCACTTATCGAATTAGATTACCGGTACTTGCTAAAAAAACTGTACGGTTACAGAGAAACACAAACAAAACTACCAAACCAAACACACAAATACATTTTAATACGCGACAACAAAACTCATCTTCACAAAAATAACAAACACATTTTGCACACGTAAAACTACTCGACCCTATCTACCACATCAATCGCTAAACAAATTAACCAAAAACATAATGCATTTAGATCTTATCGGAGTAGACCGTAATTAAAAAATGTCCAAACAAGAATGCAATTCCGTCATCAATTACTTTAATAGGCAGTCAGGTGGTGGACATGCAAAATGATGTTTTAGGGTCGCTAACCTACCTCAATGTCATGCATACACAGGTGCACGGTGCACACTGCACACTCAGTCGTTACATGACACAACTGGTACATTTCCATGCATGTGTGATCGATAATTGCAGCGATAATCTCACTCGCGAATGCATTTTGTTGCTATCGGCAATGTTAAAAAATACATTCATGGTGAAATAGTTCCAGAGTAGTTCGATGAGCAAATTTTTGATTTTAGTGTGGTTGCAGTGATTAGGCCTACAGTGGTTTAGACCTAGGTACAAAATAAGGTGTGCAAGGCTTAATGTTTTGCATCAAACCTCACTGTGGACGCCATTACCAATGTTTTTTAAATTTCAATATTGAGATCGACAAGGTGTAATAGTAAAATTTAATAAATATAAGAATTAAAAATGGACTATTTTAGCATAGGGTACAATATGGATGGTTTTCAACCTAAACGTGCATGAAATAATTTATTTAATTCATAAAAGTTCCAAACCCTTGTTACCACTCAATTACTGATAATTAAGGATGCATTTTTGGATGGTGCTGATTTTAGTTTGGTATTAAATAAGCCACAACGATTTTTGAAGCACTTATAACTTTTCAAACTTAACTAATCATTATTCCACAACTACAACATCCATTGCTCAACTAAAACAACCAATTAATTTATCCGAGCAAAACATTTAGAGGGGGGAATCACCTCGAGAAATCCCTGCAGGCCGTAAACATGGCCGGCTTATGGAACTGGAACGAGAATGGTCTTTATTTAAAGGGTTACAAATTTCCAAAATAGCCTCTAGGGTCGCGGCGGGCCCGGATGGTGGAGGGGAGGGGGGGGTGAGTTACACACCGTACGTGGCTCTCCGATCACGTCCGAGCCACTTACATCACTCGGACCACCTCAAATTGTATTACATTCTGCGTGATAAAGTGATCTGAACACCTGAGACTGAACACATGAAAACACGTCCAATCGTCCAAGAGAAATTTCAAGGGGACATGGGGTAATTCGTCGCACGATAAGACTGGGTAGTTTAGGAAAAAATTAGGGGGAGTCGGGATGATTTTTTTATCGGAGACACTAGGTTCAGTTCATACAACTGGTTGATGCGTGCTAACTAGTAATTATGATATGTAAACTGTGAATTCTAAAAGCCTACACAAAATACATTACTGTAATTGGATTTGATCTTTGCAAACGTTAACTATTTCTACAACCGTATCGAACGTTAGATTTTCTGTCTAAAGATATGATAAATTATCGATATTATTTTAGAATATGAAGTATGGTGAAATTCTCATTTATCTTATGTCAGCCTACTTTAAGGATGTATACTCATTACGAATAGCCTAAACGTATATCACTACGTATGTCATCAACGAATATCATTACGAATAAAAAGTCAGTACCTAAGTTGGTAAATTGCTTTCTTTCGCTTTAATACATAACTTTTAAATTACAAGTGCCTATTAGTCTAACTAAGCTAGAATTCACAGTGTTGGAAGGCATTTTTAACTAATAACTTACTAATAGCTAATTCAAAAGACATTACAAATGTAGCTGTTCTGCCTACCCCAAAACTCAAGCCACCATATCTAAAACATACCCAATGCCCAAATATTATGTATCCAGCAAACTTTAATAGATTTCCACAACTACTCCTACAACATGTTAACGATAAACATTCATAAACTTCGACTGACATAATTTTAATACAGCCTACAAACAACTTGGCCAAAATCGAACACTAAATACTGGTCTTATATCGACAGTGTTTATTTTCCCGGTTTAATCTTGGAGCGAACTTCAACCTCAGTATCAGCTGTTATCAGCCATGTGTTGCTGCTGCCGAGCTGTCTGCTAGAAACACTTATGCAACTTGGATAAGATAGCAGAGGTGTTAGTGTTCACTTATCTGCCAGCGATACGGCAAACAAATAGCTATTGATTCAACTGCAGCTATGGGTGATGAAATAGTTTCACAATATTGTGGATACTGAGAGTAAGCGAGGCAACGTGCTGCACTGTTAGAATATATTACAGTAGTAGAGTAGTTTGTAGGTCTTCAAACAGTACGACGACAATGTGGTGGTTTAACGAAAAATCCAAGTAAAAAGTAAAAGAAATTGTATCGATTAATGAATGGAGATTTAAAATAAATCGGATTTTAGTAATCTCTACTCTCTAGTAAACACGACTTTAAGGACATACTTTATTCAAAATGCCAGTATAGTATTACTGAAGTAGAACTATACTACAAATCACTACAGACAAACATAACAAGACTACATCTTCACACAACTATAAAGACACTGTGCTTAGCTACACAATATACAATGTCATGCAAAAGGTGGGAAAGGAGAAGAAAATAGTTGAGAAATCAAAATCTACCTCAGAGTTTTTCTACAAAATAGCAAAGATTACGGTTTACGAGTTAAAGTACAGTGGTTTTAGTTTAAATGCGGGGGGTTGGTATTAGGTATATTCGTAAAGGGCTATAGAAATTTTAAACCTGAAGATGTATTGAAATAGAGGATAACTAACTTAGAGATGGCAAATATTGAGAGCGTTCATACTGTTTAATATGATGGAATTGCTTGAATACTTTGTAGGATCCTTAATCGTTGTAAAAATTTTCGGGTGGATAGCGAAAGATATATCTAGCAATTTTGTGCTCAAGGATGTGTTAAAACTGCAAATGTGAAAAAATATTTCATCCCACTTCAAAATTTAAACGTTGACTCGAAATGAGATTAGTTCAACATATTGCTTGAGGAGTATGTTTTATCTATGACTGTAGTAAGCTCAATCTCAAGTTGTCTTAGTTGTCTAATATTCTCTTCCTACATAGAACATTTTTCCTGCTTAGTATTCGACCATTTAAAACACGTTGCATTACTCCTACTTAAAATATTAGAAAAATATGTCATGCTCCAATTTTTTTGCCTGTGCCGTTGCAAGAATAGGAGAGCTTATGTTAACATCGTACCTTGTTCGTTTTTTATTATAGCCTAGGTAATATGTCAATTTGTGCTCTTTTAGTAAACTCGTGTTGGATACATTAATACTCTCTTCTAGTCTAGTAGTGGTAACTTAGCCTTCAAAAAAGTATTTTTCCATATCTTGAAGATGAACTTAATTTTAACATCTTTAAATTCGCTAACGAAATGAGGAAGCAATATGTTTTGTATACGAAATTAATAAATAAGTATTCAAACGCGTTCAGACAGGAGAACCCAATCTTTCAAATGTCTATTCCGTGGGGATAGCCTACCTACCCATTTGCATGAAATTTCCTCAGAAAACGCACGATTTTTGAACGAGATAATCTACGTAAATTCTCAGTCCGTGCAATTTTTAGTATCAAATACTTCGAGTTAAATTCTAGAAACGTAGGTATTAACTTATGAGGCCCAGTTAACTAACTGATGTGGAATATTACAGTATTACTATACAGTAAAAACTCTTAGGTACAGTAAAAAATATTAGGTAACAAGTTGTAAGAAAACGTAAAATAACTGCTATGATGAAAATTTTTCAATTTCCTTACAATGTATTTATGATGGAAAAATCGCAGAACTTTTTAGGATTAGCCTATAGCTTGATTCAATAATTCAGATCGTAAAATATATCATAGATTGACTTACGAAAATACCATCACGACACAAACCTACATGAAAGACTTATTAAAAACGAATCCTACAATACACAAACAAATTTGCTACTGAAGCAATTATTGGAGCAAGATAAACAAAACAGAAAGAGAAAATGTTGGCATGATTAAAGGAGATAGACCGATAGTCCCTGCCTGCCTGTCTTGGCGCTCGCAGCCCGTTCTGACATATCCCTTCTTAAACAACACGCCGAGGATATACTCTCCTACTTATAAATATCTCGTAGCTCTTTAAAATTCGGGGACTCAATTTAACAATCACTGTGGCCAATTAATTGTGGGGAGACCCTATTAATTCAGCTTTTCCTTAATGGTAGATTTTTGTTTAAATAAGACAAAATAGGTAATTAAACACTTTTGAGTCGCGTTTTAGGGCAGACGAATCAATTACCGTAGCCTACCGTCACAACGCTCACATAAAATTATTCACGGTGAAAATATGAACACATTGCACCTACTGTACCTGACAACAAAAGTCGCAAAACCAAGAATTAATTGCTATATTTAGGCCTATGGTAGTTCTTGAAAATTTGGCGTTAAAAATCATACACAACTTAGGCCTAACTTTATTTCCTGGCTATGGGACAATTATGTAGGGAAAATGCTGACCGTTTTTTCTGAGTGATAGACGAGGTGAAAAATATCCTATTTTTTTGTTTTCCTAACACACTGGAAGATCAACTGGGCAACGGACTTGTGAACTTCACGAATTTCAAGGAAATGTCCAAAATTTCGGTAAACTAGGAATTTTAAATTTGTTAACCACTTTAACCAAATATCAAAAGTTAGTATTTGAACCGTGAGAAAAACTTTCGATCTTGGAAAGATTTTTCGTCCTACGTCCTAACTTACATAAAGTTTCTCACACATCTTACCTGAGTCGCATCGGAGTACGGAGTTGACGAGTTTTTATCCACTAACTGAGAACCGAACACAGGAAGCCCGCTAGAAGTCGGGCTGTCAGATCTGATAATGTCGCCTTGTTGTGGCACCATTTTAAATAATTTTATTCATAACCCACTATGACACTAGAATTTTTCACTTTCACAATCAAAGCACTTTCCAACTGTATCACGGTTTTCGACTTGGAAAATTTTACACACGCTGAATCCCGTAATATCCTTCTGTAGACATGTTCGCCGACTGCTCAACACGAAGACACCCAAACGACTGGCTGTTGACGGTAGGGTCCGTCGGATATTCAACATTCAGTAGTGGTGGGGGGAGGACCAATAGGGAGCTGGCGGCGTCGCGCGGGTCCGTGCGGCGAGGGATAAAGCGCACAATCACTTGTGTTTTCTGTGTTTTGGAATTAAAAGGCTAATGATTGGGATTTAATTTTTTTTCTTGCACTGATGTTAGTTTGACGTGACTTTAGTTTGGGTGAATTCGTCAGTGTAAAAATGAGTAAGAGATTGAGTAAAATTGTTAGCTAGTCGTTAATTTATATACGCATACAAACATATAATGAACTTACTGTACTTAATTTACTTTGACCTTGTGACTTATTTAAATTGTGTATTTATTGAGGGCATAAATCGTTGATTATTGTTTACAAATTTCAATTTTTTTGTATCCCCACGTCCTACGAGTAAGTTAGAACTCTTGATTCATAAAAGTTTTTTTTTAAATATGTTTTAAGTAGGGATTTAGGACTAGTTGAAATTTTTGAAGTATATTTAGGACTATTTGAAATGTGTTCACAAACACATTCATTATTTTGCAGTACTATACGTTTTCTTAGTGCATGTAAATGCTTAACCAGCTTAATAACTGGACGTTTATTTCCTTGATTGGGGCAAAACTATAATACCCCTCATAATAATAAGGCTTATTGTAAAAAAGTTATGAAATACTATTTTTATCATTATTTTAGAGTTTTTTTTTTAATTCTTGCTCTCTACTTGAGTACCACATAGAACGAATACAACCCAATAAAAATTATTTAACACCAACATATCCACACAAATTAATATCAGGTGTATCAGGAAAAATACATACAATAACCTCATATAAATATGTTTTCAAGATATTCATTTATTTTATTAATACTCATAGTTTGTCGTCGATATTTAAAACACAGCTCAGATCCTCACAGTACGAGGAACTGAGCAAGAGTGAAGCTTTATCCAGTGCCTACGAGTCCCACACGACGTCGTCTTTAGTTGCAATTTCCGCCGCTCAGGTCGCAGCACTGTACGAGATCGTAGTCGACAATGTAAACATAAACAAATCGCTTCTAAACATTACGTACCGGCTCTATGATATGTTTATGGCATCAATACTGCTTACTGTACGGACTAGCAAATAGCACAGTGTCGTTTTGTAGCCATTTGTAGCAGCTGAAGTTTAAATCGCATTAAAACTATTAAGAAAATTGACTTTTCAGAATATTTTTAGCAGTTAGAGGTCAAAATAGTGGGGATGTAAAAAGTATTAATTTTTTTAATTCTGGAATGTTTTCAACGGCTATTTAGCTGTTGGTGCTTGTTGAAAGGATAAGTGTGAATGATATTTCAATCTCAATGTTATGAATGTATGATGAATTTAATTTCAAATTTGATAACTTTGAGGTATTTTAGTTATCCCCCAAGGGTTTAACACAGTATGTAGAGTTTCATTGTTATGTAGCTGATTTAATCTATTTCAAATGGCAAGAATAAATTATACGAATATAAAATATTCAATGTATACCACTGTATATTATATGAATAAAGACATTTTCAATTCAATTCAATTCAATTCAAAACAATAGGCCCCCAAAACGAAATACTGTATTATTTATGCTAGTTAACATTTCCATATCATTCCAAATAAGTGATGGTTTAACGATGTTATATGAAATCAAATCAGCTGTGATGCTGTTCCATGCCGACTAATCAGCTGTGATGCCGACAAATCAGCTGTTTATCCTACTTACCAACATTTAAACCATTTTAAGTTGCACAAGATTATAAAGTATTACGCAAAACTCAATAAACAGTAAACCATTTAGAAACTTAATTGACGCAAAAAAACAAATAACCTGAAGACGTCTCAGGCAGACCGAGTCGCCCACGACAATAATACTTGACCTGATTCAAGGTCAGGCCGTCGCTTCGCTATCAGCTGTTCAATGCCAACCTTTCAACAGAAAACACAAATAGACCTACTTCATGTAAACTGATAGGTGTGGTTCCACACGATTCTTTGTAGGCACTACACGTCTATGTACAAAATGGTCTTATGATATAGGGGAAAAAGATTGGTCTACGTTACAAAATCCACGTCACACATATGCCTACAGTAGGATGTAGAGAGAGTAGTGAGTTTCGAATGCAAGCACTTTTGGATTTACCGTAGATTAGAAAATCCCTAGGGCGTTACTCATATGGCGTCTTGTAGACGGAGTTGGAAATAATCTACTTCTAATCAGATGGACAGACAGTAACGTGTAGTTTTATTTTTAACAGAACTAACAAGTGTTAAACCTACTTTAGTTCTGAATGTCTTCCTGATTTTCTAGAATATGACCTGACTACTCGGGTCTGACAGCACCAAAATTTACAATCAAAAGGTCACTCGATTCTAAGAAACATCATTACTTTTTTATATTTCGAATTTAGATTCAGTTGATCATTGGGCATTTGTATTCATATTCAGCAATTTGCCCCCTAGGTTGTGCATCACTGTCTCAAGGTACAGTAATGGTGATGATGATAATGTCCTGACTAATGACGATTTCACCTAACCCATAGTCTAACTGAACACTGAGTGTCAGATCTTGGGAATCTGACCACTGTGATTAGCCTATTGATAAATTGACGTACGAGAATCTTCCCTGACTATTGTCTAGCCTACCGTTGTTTTGAGTATCTGACCTAACACATGCACTCGTAGCCTCGCCGCAGGTTCTACAGCTCAAGTCGGAGACTAAACATGACCCAGTATACGGCGAGCGTGTCTACAATGTCTACACGCCGCGGTGCGTTGGTGCGTAGACCGGCTAAATCCGGCGTCCGTGGGCCCCAACACGCGTGATAAACATGCGTCTGTCTCGTGTAGGCTACATGTAGCTACGTGCCTTGTGGGTGTTGAAGAAATCACTCCTTTCAAAAAATTAACCGGTTGAAATCGGTTCAATTTATGAATTCTGTTTAGTTTTGTGACAGTTACGTATTTCCAGTTTTGATGTCCAGGTCCGCGGATCCTATAGTGAATTGTATTGCTTATTGGGTAAAATAACTAAATTGTAGGTTGTTCGATTGATTTTCTATCAGAGCAAGTGACGTGGAACTACGTGTCAGAGCAAGGGATTACGTTAAGTAGGCTACCGGTAGTAAAGCTCTACTTTATTACAATGTACTTCAATTTTATTATTGAAAATATACACGAATCGAAACACGACATAGGGTTTCATTGAAGTCCAAAATATCATAATTCGTAAACAAAATCTGATGATTTGAAATAGACGTTTTTGTGTTGTAAGGTTGGTATTCAACAGCTGATTACCGGCGATGCGCTGCGTGACCTTGAATGAGGTCAAGTATTGTTGTGTTGTAGGAGATTGAATTTCTATGTATTGTGTTTATAGTTGCGCGTGTTTTCTTGATCAGACCAGTGATAAGACTATTAATGTGTTCTACGATGCAGCATTGAAGCTATACGATAAGCTAATATATTTTTCATGGCGTGCAACAGTGGTCCAAGTAGGCCTACGTAAGAACATAAAAATCGTGGAAATACTATTAGTTTAACTACTATAGAGTTCATAGTATCGAAACGTAACTATCTTAACCTAACTGAACCACCGTAGCACGCATTATAAAATAGTAACTCTAACAAGTACTTTATTGTTCAACTTGTGTGCTGTGTTATACTTTATATTTAACTTAACCTATCTTCTATCACCGTCAGAAAGTACCCTTGTTTTACTAACACTCCGTGGTCCTAAACTATAAATTGTAAATGCGTTACAACTTCAAAATACATCCCTGAAACAAACTGACATGTTTACCTAAATTGGTAATAGACGAAATTTTTTACTATGGTAAGCGTTGGTTGAAGACATAGGCATTTTCACACATTTAGCAGATATATTTACCAAAATAGACAGATGACGTAGTGTGTGTTATTCGAGCCCAAATATCCACAATCCCCTCTTACCATCAGATCTTCGGCTCAGACGAATGATTGGATCTTCAAATCCTACTTGGAGAGCAAATCCGAGCCATGATATGCTCAGTGCTACATTCCACGTAAATAGGCTGCGGAATTGATATGGTCACATGCCTTAACATTCATATCTGCTACTTTCCCCAAAAAAATATCCACTATTATAGGGGTAATTGCATTTGAGAGCAATAGATTCACATATTCTCCCTGAATTGTATTAAAAAAGCTGCGCAGTTTTTAAGTTAATAATATCCTACTATAAAAGTAATCTGTTCGTGTGCAATTTATTTTCCGTAATTATGTATTCAATCAAAATTATCCGCACTTTCTACAAAATAACTTTAACAATATAACAAAAACCATAGTTATTTGTGTAACTAGTGTGCGAAGTGGCACAATGTTTTTGTCGTTTAGTTGGAATACTGGAGTGTGGCAAAAAAAATAGTGCGCCAAAAGTAAAATGAGTGCGGCAAAAGTAAGTAAATGCAGCAACTAGCTACTTTGTGTGCTATAATCAGTACAAGACTGCACTTTGTCAGGTAACTGTAGGAAAACATCTTTTCCAAACTATGAATTCATTAAAGAATGAACTGAAAACGTAGTAAAAAGATTCAATTATACATCTCATGGTGTCAATAATATAAAAAGATCCACTCTTTTTCGTACAGTTTGTTAAAAACGACAACTTTTAGAAATTGAAAATACAAACGGAGAAAAACTCAGTTCGTACATAATGTAGGCCTATTCATAGTTATTTTCCAAAACTTATATAAAAATGTCCATATTTTTCCAAACTAAGATGTATCGAATGAAGGTAAATTAACTCAATTTGAAAACAATATTTTCCCAAGTAACGAGTATCCTTCATTAATGACTTCAAAAAGTAAATCTTGTACAGATTAGGAATACAATGAAAGTGAAGAAATATAGACCATTTGTGAGCAATTTATTTACGCGTATTCTCCATGATTCATCTTAAAATCTACAATTATTCCAAATTAAGAATACAATAAAGGTAAAGAACTCAATTCGCGAGAAATAGATTCATTTAAAAACATTCAGCGGGTAACGGCGGCCTAACAGAAAGGTCGTTTTGGCAGATATAAACTTTATTGGACCGAAGAAACGCAGGGGAAAGAGCCACATAAAGCCAAATGTACAACCTTTCCTTGGGGCTTAATTTCTCTATCCTTCGAATAGACGCGAACGGAATAAACTAATATTTGAAGTTAGAAGTGCCGTGCAGGCCTACTGGTAGGCTCTTATAGCTTTCTTATTAAATCTTTATGACTCCTAACTCCTTTATGCCCTAATCTCAATCACTTTATACGCTGTTGTAAACAAAGCGCCTGGGGTGATACGGTTAACTCGAAAATTTAGGGGTAGTAAAACCCCCCTTTGAGATTTGGAACCGTTGAACATGTGCTGAAGTTTTTTTTTATTTGGAAGAAACACGTGTAAAACATTGCTTTTGGGTATTGGATGGATCTAATGACAATCAAACAAAAACCTTACATACTCTAAACTCTGCGAATCTTTTGAAATACACCCATAAGAGAGCCATTATAAAATGCAGAACAAGTTAGACAACGTATATTGATCAAGCAGGAAAATAAGATTGAAGATATGGAAATGGAAATAGATTAATCATCCCTCAAGAACGACGGGAAACAAACGAAAAAGGTAATTGTTGGAAATAATACTACGGTATAAAAAATACTCCTATTATAAAATTAAAAAATGTCGGTAACTTATGTTGAGTGATTCTTGGGAAACTAGGCCACACATAATGAGAATAAATTAATAACATCGTTGCTATAATCTACAGGAATAGATTTTACGCACTTTAAAAATCAAATTCTCTAGACTAATCTAAGCATAAACTATTCATGAATGAATTCCTGTCTATGACTTATGAGGTTACATGAGAAATTAGGCTAACTTCACGTTATGAATCCAAATCGAATGTTATGAATAACATCGTTGCTTCTTGTCCATGTAAAAATCTTATTACAGAACGCATACATTCTACGTACCTGGGCAATATAATACGCTACAACAAAT